TTTATAAATAATAAAATTCTTCTCAATTATTTTCAAAATTTTTTTTTAAATTCTTGGCAACATTTAAATTATTTTAAAAAAATGTCCTCAATTCAATGATTTTCAATATCTACCTACTATTTTAATAAAATTTTCCAGAAGAATTAATTATTTTCAAAAATAATCAAAATTTTACAGACATCATAAATAATAAAACTCATTGCAGAAATTCGTCAAAATAGTACAATTATTTAAAAATTTATTGATAAAATTCTTTATGAGAATTCAAATTTAAGAAACATTCAATTATCTTAATAAATATTAAAATTCTTTTCAGAAATTCAATTATTTTCAAGAATTTTAATAAAATTCTTTGTAATATTCAATTGTTTCTATAAATATAATAATATATTTTACAAGAATTATTCGCAGAAATTCAATTGTTTTTGAAAATTTTAACTTAAAGAAAAAATTTCAGTTAAAGATTTAGATAATATTTGATAATATTTCGAGCCTTTTGGGAGGAATTTTTAGAAGTAATTAAATTTTGATATGGTTTGAAACTAAAAATTTTTTAAATCTAAATTTTTCATATTTTTAATTTTATAAAATTCAACTATTTTCATAAATAACAATATTCATCACAAGAATTTAATTATTTCTAAGAGTAATAAAATTCTTGTCAAAATTTCAATTACTTTAAAAAAATTTTTCTCAGTTCAATGATTTTCGATATTTACTATTTTAATAAAGTTTTCCAAACGAATTCAATTATTTTAAGAAAAGTATTGATAAAATTCAATTATTATCATAAATAATAAAAAATTCGCATTCATTAAATTATTTAAAATAGAATTTGTATATATATTATTTAAAAAAATTAATTATTTAAAAAATTCCTATAAAAGTCTTTGCAATAGTTTAATTATTTTCATAAATATTAAAATTCTTTTTAGAGATTTAATTATTTTTACAAATAATAAAATTCTTTTCAAAAATTCAATTAATATCATAATAATTAATAAAACTTATTACGAAAGAATTCAATTTAAGAAATTTTCAATTATTCAATAAAACATTTATTTTTGTATTTAAATAATTGAATTTTCATAGAATTTTTTAATAAAAATTGATTTAAAAATAATTTTTAGTTACCATTTTAGATAATAATTGAATATTAAACGCTTTATTGCATGAATTTTTAGAAATAATTGAATTTTGAAAAGGCTTCAAATTAAAAATTAATGAATTTTTCACACGAATTGCAAGTATTTTTCATTATTTCTAACACAATTTGAATTGTATTTCTCGAAAAATGCAATTATTCTTAAAAAAATTTTTAAATTCGTCAAAGAAAGTCAATGATTTAAAAATTTGTTGATGTATTTCTTTATGAAAATTCAATTTTGAGAAACATTCATTTATTCAATAAATTATTATTTTTGTTTTTAAATAATTGAATTTTCATAGAATTTTCTAATAAAAATTGATTTAAAAATAATTTTGAAAAGGTTTCAAATTAAAATCATTAAAAATTTGAATTTTTCATACTTTCTTTAAACTAACTGTACAATTAATTTTTTTTTTTAATTTAATTGAATTTTTTAAAAATATATTTGAATTTTTTATTTTCTAATTTATATTTAATTGAAGAATTTTCGAATAATTGAAATTTCATAATATTGAGTTGTAAACAAATGAATTTGAAAATTCTAAAGGAACTATTTCAAAAATTAGTAAAAATAATTTGTTTAAAGGAAAAATTTTAGTTAAAACGTTTAGAAAATAATAATAGTAAATTGAAATAATGAAAATAATTTTGAAGACGTTACAGTAAAAATATTCCTATGAAAAAATATAATTATTTTTTAATATTTATTTAATAAAGAAGTTATTGATGTTTTCGAATAATTTTCCAATTAAATAAATTCGTAAATGAATGTAATAGAACATTTTTTTGAGTACCTAATAATTTTTAGACTAAATCAGAATATTCTTTAGGGTCAAGGAAAAAGTCAAAATCATAGTCAGGAAAAACTCTGGAAATCAGGGAAAAGTCAGGGAATAACAGAATTAAATTTTTGCAGAAACCCTGTTTTTTGTTCGAGGAGAAAAATGTTTTTAATATAAAATTCCCACTCATATGTATAAAAAGTCGATATACGCAATTTTTGCCGAATGTTCAATTTGATAAACGGGAAAAATCGACAGACTTGAAAAATTACTTTCATCGATAACAATAAACCCTTATGGTACCTCCATTTCGCACACTTAAATCCCAAACGTGAAGCACCAACCTACATATATAATTTCCCTCTTTTCTTTCCTTTTTTTTCTCTTCTTATCACCACTTTCATCGTGCGAAGAACGAGATTAAAAATTTCTCTTTTTTTCCTCTTTTTTTTTTTTTTTTTTTTTGACGACAAAAGGCGAGGGAAAAGTGAGACGGGAGAAAAATGAGAAAAAGATAGGAAATTGTATATAAGGGAAAGGTAAAATGTGAAAGGACAGGACTATACCTAACGTATCGCCGACTACTCTGGTCTGACGATATCAAAGCGCATAAAGGGCAAAAAGGGAGCACTTAACGCAGCAGTAGCAGCAGCAGCCTGCTTTTAATTCGCGCAAAACGCTCGTCCTGCTCTAGTGAAATCTCGTCTAATTTCTATCGTCGACAACGGCTTTTCCCCCTATTTCCCGGCGTTGAGGCGACACCGACGCCAATTTCCCTGTCGGCTCGACCTGTTCGTGAAAGGTGAAACCTTGGAATTTCTTTAATTAAAAAGCGTCGATCAGAGAAGTAAAGTCAGAACTTTTGCTTTGAAATAACGTTTCAAAAAAAGGGGGGAAAAAAATAGAAAGGAAAAATTGCGCGGAATCAGAAATGAATAATCAAATTCTGCAAATATTTGAAGTTATTGAAAATTTATTATGCGCGAAAAATTTGTTAATTAATAGATTTTTTTTCACTTCTTAAAACATTTATTAATTTCTTTATTTCATTTCTTCATTTACTCATTTCTCTCGTAAAATATCAAAATTATAGAATTACTAAAAGAAAATTCCAATTTTTGACATATTTTTGAGATTTTTGAAAATATTTAGAACTCACTTAATTCCTCAAAAATTTTGTTTCTTATTTGTAACTAATTTCTAAATCGACAAAACTTATAAAACTTTCTAAACATAATTATATTTTTCAAAATTTGAACATTTTAAACTTTTCTAAAAATTATTTTTTTACTTTTGCCAATAATAATTTTCAAGAACTTTTTCAAAATAATTATTTATAAAAGATTTTTAGTGAATCATTTTATTCAACAATTCTAAAAATTTGGGAAAGTTGCAGTTTACATTATTTTAAAGAATTGAATTCCAATGGGTTTACAATTGAAATTTTTATAAATAATATAGAAAGATTTTGAAAAGATATTTAAATTGAAATTTTTAAAATTGAATTTAAAAAGTTTTACAATTGGAATTTTTATAAATAGTTGAATTTCAAAAGCTTTTGAATTAAAATATTTCTATAAATAAAATTTCAAAAAGTTGCAAATTAAAATTTGTAAAAATAATTGAATTTCAAAAGATTTACAATTGACATTTTTTTAAAACTTGAATTTCAAAAAGATTAAAATAGAAACTTTTATAAATAATTGAATTTCAAAGGGTTTTAAATTAACATTTTTAAAAAGCAATTAAATTTCAAAAAGGGTTACGAATAAAAATTTTATGAATAGTTAAAATTTCAAAAATAGTTCAATACAAGTATTTATAAGTAATTGAATTTCAAAAGCGTTTTACAATTGAAATTTTTTTAAATAATTGAATTTCAAGAAGATTGAAATGGAAAATTTTATAAATAATTAAATTTCCAAGATTTTTAAAATAATTGAATTTTAAAGGGCTTACAATTGAAAATTTTATAAATAATTCAATTTCAAAAGGGTTTGTACTGAAATTTAAAAAAATTGAATTTCAAAATGTTTACAATTAAAATTTTCACAAATAATTGAACTTCAAACATGGTTTATAATTGACATTTTTATAAATATATTAGATTTTACAAAAGATTTTAATAATAGATTTTTCAAAAGGTTTATAAATAGAAATTTGATAAATAATTAAAATTTTAAAACGCTTAAAATTGAAATTTTTACAAATAATTGAATTTCAAAGGATTAACAATTGAAAATTTGATAAAAAATTAAAATTTCAAATGGCTTAAAATTAAAGTTTTCGTAAATAATTAAATTTCAAAAGGGTTAGCACTGAAATTTTTAATAATTGAATTTCAAAATGTTTACAATTAAAATTTTTATAAATAATTGAACTTCAGACGGTTTACAAATGAAATTTTTACAAATAATAGATTTCCAAAAGGTTTATAAATGAAAATTTGATAAATAATTGACATTTTAAAAGGCTTAAAATTGAAATTTTTACAAATAATTGAATTACTGTTAAGTTTCAAAAATTTGACATAATTCTTGGCAAAATTTCAATTATCTTTATAAATATTAAAATTCTTCTTCGAAATTCAATTATTTTCAAAACTTAAATACAATTCAATTTAATAAAATTCTTTGCAAAATTTCAATTATTTTAAAAAATTTTCCAAAGGATTCAATTATTAAAAAAAAGTTTTAATAAAATAATTGAAAACATGAAGAAATTGATCATTCCGAGTCGAAGACTCGGAGTAATCGATATCTTTATGTTTCATAACAATATTTTTATAAATTATTGAATTTTTAAAAAAATTTGAATCTAAAGCAGAATAATAATAAATTTTACTATTTTTATTAAAAAAATTTGTCCAAAGCGAAAACAAACTGAAAAATTTACTTCGAAAAATATTTCTTTCATCTAAATCGTTGATCATAAAGCGTTGTCAACTTCACCACCGCAGTATAAATCCTGAGCGGCTTTTTTTTTCTTATTGTTAAAAATAAGATCATCTTTCTCTGACGGGAACAATTTTCTTATATGAATATTACCATTTTTTTTTTTTTTTGCAGGTTATTTTCAAGATCTCTTGAAGTCGAGCAAAGTCGGATTTCATGACATGTTTAAGAAGACTTATGGCATCTTATACGAACAGAATTCCTACGTCTTCACGGACCTTTTCAAAGAGCTGGAAAAATACTACGACACAGGATCGGTAAGGAAAAAAATTCATCTCGCATAGATTTGTGGTTTTAGAAGCAGGGAAAACTTTCTTAACCTTTTATATTACAATCTTCACAATTTTTTTTTTTTCTTTAAAACCATTTTTTTTTTAAAATGAATTTTTTCTTCGTTTTCTTTAAAATTAATTTTTTGTTTTCTTTAAAATAACTTTTTTTCTTTAAAATGAATTTTTTTCGTTTTTTTTTAAGTAAATTTTATTTTCTTTAAATTTAATTTAGTTTTCTTGGAAAAAATTTTTTTCCTTTGAAATTAATTTTTCGTTTTCTTTAAAATAACTTTTTTTCTTTAAAATAAACTTTTTCGTTTTCTTTGAAGTGAATTTTATTTTCTTTATAAATTTAATTATTTCGTTTTCTTGAAAACGAATTTTTTTGTTTTCTATAAAACGAATTTTTTTCTTTCAAATTTTTTTATTTTCTAAACGAGAATTTTTTAAAATGAAAAAAAAATTCAAAGTAGAAATTAATTTTATTTTTTTTTTAAATTATGTGCGGGGAGAAATACGAGTGTTTTTCGCACTCGGTGGGATTTGAAATCAAAACTAAAAGTGTAAGTAAAGTTTAGAGAAGAAAAGTTTATAATTAAATTCCCTTGACATTTCTCAGCATTTCAATCGTTCTATAATCTTTTTGCTCTTAAAGGTCCTTTTTTACATTCGCCATCAGTACATAACTGGAGCGAACTTTGCTCGTATTTCACATTTTGTTTGAAAGACGGGAGCTGAGAGCGATTGTAAATCAAATTTCACACCAGTTCTAAAGCTCAATTTTCAAAGGCAAATTTCTTCCTTTTTTTTCCATAATACTCTTCGCAAAAGTTGTTGAAAAGTATTCAATTCAACTTTATGTCTATTTCACTCATATCATTAAATAATATGCGGCATTTTTTCTATAAATTATCTATATAATTTAAAATTATTTCTATTTTTTTACTTTCGTATTTATATTTATTTTTAAAATTGTATTTTCGAACACGTTCAAAACTTTAGCTTTTTTTGTACTTTTATTTTCATGATTAAACTTGTCGCAAGCGAATTTTTTTCTGCTCTTATATTTTTAAAAATAACATAAAGAATAAAAATATAAATATTGTAAATTAAACATTTTCTCGGTTAAGAATTAATAATAATTTAAAAAACATTTTTGATAATAAAATTCAAATCGAAAGTAGTAACAATAAAATAAAAATACAATCCTTCCTCTCTAAGCAATAAATAAATAAAACTAGAAAATTATTTATATTTTTATAATAAAACTTGTCAGGCGAATACGCAGTAATTGGTAAAAATTGACCATTTCCCCCTGTGAATTTTCGTAATATACGAAGTTCTTCTTTTTTTTTCCTTCACTCTCCCATGAGGTTTCTTGAAAATGAAAACGAATCGTTTCTCAAATATGATAATTGCCGAAGGTAATTATTTAGGCATTTCCTTCTTTAATTTCTTAAGAAATATTTTTCCCAGGTGAATCGTTTCATTTGAAAATATATCCACTAATATTCATAAAGTTGGAAAAATTCATTATTGAGTACAATTATCTGTCTTCCCTTTTGCTTTTTATGGTTCGTACTATACTTTTCCGTCATTTTGTCTTCATGCTTGGCTCACCGCAATTATATGCGAGTTGTTGTTCGCCCCCTACCCTCTATCTCATCGTTTATAATACACAAAAGCTATATAAAAGTATCGCGTGCCACGGTGAATTTAATCAATGCACTTTCGACGTATACGCAATCGTCCGTTTCTTGATAAAATTCTTGAATCTAAAAATATCTCCCACTTTTCAGCTCGATATAATGCTATACTATTAAAATTAATACCATGTGCCCCTCATCTTTATATGGAGAGTTTCATTTCTCTTCCATATAAGTGTATAATGTTTTAATCTCAGCACTATTTTTCACGTTTTCATTCAATAATTTCTACTTTCTCTTTGGCATTCTTTTTTTTTTTTAATTTTCGAAATTTTTATCAATTTTTCCTTTATTAACATATTGTTTTTAAATCGATTTGCTTTTGAAAATTTGTCACTGGCTTTATTTACTAAAAGTGTTGTCAATTTTACACCCACTATAATCATTAAAATAAAAACATTAATCTCTATATTTTTCACTGAATTTCAATTATTTACAAAAATTCCAATTCAAAACTTTTTCGTATTCAATTATTTCCTAAAATTTCCATTTAAAATTCTGAGAAATTCAATTATTTTAAATTTCAACTGAAAAACTTATAAAATTCAATTACTTATAAAAAATTTAATGTTAAACCACTTAAAATTCAATTACTTGGAAAAATTTCAATTTAAAAACCCATTGAAATTTAAGTATTTATTAAAAGTTCAATTGTTAATTCCTTGAAATTCAATTATTTGTAAAACTTTCAATTATTTACCAAATTTTCATTTATAAACCTTTTGAAAATCAACTATTTATAAAATTTGCAATTATAAACCGTTTCAAGTTCAATTATTTATGAAAACTTCAAATGCAAACAATTTGAAATTCAGTTTTTAAAAATTTAAGTGCAAACCCTTTGAAAATTCAATTATTCATAAAAATTTCAATTTTAAGCCCTTTAAAATTCAATTACTTATAAATATTTCAAATTAATGTTCAATTACTTTAAAAAATTTCTATTTAAAAATTTTTGAAATTCAATTATTTATAAAAGTTTCCATTTGAATCTTCTTGATATTCAATTATTTTTAAAAATTTCAATTGTAAACCGCTTGGAAATTCAATTACTTATAAATACTTGCATTGAACTATTTTTGAAATTTTAACTAATTTATCAAATTTATATTTGTAAACCTTTTTAAAATTTAATTGCTTTTTAAAAATTTCAATTATAAACCCTTTGAAATTAAATTATTTATAAAATTTTCAATTTCAAGCCATTTAAAGTTTTAATTATTTATCAAATTTTCAATTGTTAATCCTTTGAAATTCAATTATTTGTAAAAATTTCAATTTTTAGCTTTTTAAAATTTTAATTATTTATAACATTTTCATTTATAAACCTTTTGAAAATCAATTATTTATAAAAATTTCAATAGTTAATCCTTTGAAAGTCAATTAATCATAAAAATTTTAATTTTAAACATTTAAAATTTAATTTTTTTTATAAATTTCAATGTAAACCCTTTTGAAATTCAATTATTTATGAAAATTTAAATTGTAAAAATTTTAAAATTCCATTTTTAAAAATTTTAGGTCAAACCCTTTTGAAATTCAATTATTTTCAAAAATATCAATCATTATAAACATTTTCAAATTCAATTTTTAAAAATTTCAGTGCATACCCTTTTGAAATTAAATTATTTATAAAAATTTTATTTTAAACTCTTTGAAATTATTAAATCAACTATATTTACAAAACTTTCAATTATAATTCCTTTAAAATTGAATTACTATTAAAAATTTCAATTTAAAACCCTTTGTAATTCAATTAATCATAAAAATTTCAATTTGAAACATTTTGAAATTCAATTTTTTAAAATTTCAATGTAAATCTTTTTGAAATTCAATTATTAATAAAAATTTCAATTGTAAGTCGTTTAAAATTCAATTACTTATGAAAATTTTAATTTAAAACCGTTTGAAATTTGAAGTATTTATAAAAATTTTAATAGTTAACCCTTTGAAATGCAATTAATTATAAAAAATTTTATTTCAAGCCTTTTCGAAAATATTGTTAACTACGTTTCATAAGATGAATATTTACCAAAATTTTTAGTGTGGCTATATTAACTTAGGTCCCTTTCTTCAGTGCGTGTCACAATTTAATGAAACTCATCGCAGAAATTTTAAATCCAAACTATAAATATTTCACAATTTTCAAGAATCTTCAAGAATCTTGAAAAATCTTGAAAAATCTTCAAAAGTCAACAAGAAGTGAAAAATTATTGAAGAGAAAAAAAAACCATATAGAAATTTATGCGAATATAAAAAAAAGATAACAAGAAATAAAATATTTGCTTTTGGGCAAAAATATGAAGAAAATGATTCATACAAATGAGAATTTCAAAATGTTTGATCAACCTTAGAATTGGAATTTCGTAATGTATATATACAGAAGAGGAGGATTTGTGATTCCCGCGCAGTTAATACACATACACATATAGCTATCGCTTCTCTGATATTCGTAGGCTTGTCTGTTGAAGCAATCGATTTATGCTTGTATGATTACGAGATGATCATGAACTAAAATTAGTGGATGCAAGCCACTATATTAATATACATATTTCTCTGTTAATTCACATTCCAGACGAATATTGTACATTGTCGTATTGAAACGACAGGGGCAGACAATTGCAAATATATATACATAGTTATCAAACTTGTAGACTACTATATAATCGCATGAAAACTGAAATGTCAGGAGCACACTGTTCTAAAATACAATCAACTTCATATCACAAAGTGGAGAATGTTCTTCACTTGGAGACACATGTGAAACACTCCTCCGTTTATCAGACACATTTCTTTTCATTCAATCAAAAGTTATGTTTCAACTTTGCAAAATTTTACTCGTTTAAATAAATTAAATAAATTTAAAACACGAGAATTCAGTTTCAACCTTAGTTTGCGTTTTATCATTTGCACTTTTTTGCTTTTTACTTTTTTTACTTTAGTGTGAGAAAATAATTAGCAAATTTTATAAAAGTATTTTTGAGACAATGGGTTAAAAAGCGAAATTATAATCCAAGAAGCATTAAAACAACTTATTTAATTATTTTTATTTTCATTCCGAACTAGAAAAAATCCGTTGTATTCCGGTAATCTGTTCGCAGTTTGAACAGGGTTGCCACAGGTCATGGAAGTCAGACAATTCAGGGAAAAGTCAGGGAAAGTAAAATTGATCAGGGAAATTAGGGAAAAGTTAGGGATTTTAAGTAAAAGTACTGGAAAAAATTGAATTTTTAAAATTCATGAAAAAACTCTGAATTTTGATGTTTTTTTTTTTATTTG